CACCCGTGCCAACCCCCGCCTCGACCGCCGCGCGGCCGCGCGGGCCGAGCGGCGCAGCCTCCTCAGGCGCCGCCACGCCCGCCGGCGGCGGCACGGGCGGCGGGTTTGGCGTCGGGCTCAGCGCCAACGGCGCCCGCAACAGCGGCAGCGGCAGCGGCAGCGTCCGCGGCGACGCCTTTGGCAGCGGCGGCGGCCAGGCGCCGGGCGGGTCGATGGACGGGGGCGGCGGCGGCGGCGGCCGCGGCTGGCGCGCGTCTGGGGCCGCTACGGACTTGGCCGCGGTGCTGGCTGATGTCCCGCAGTACGCAGCTAAGGGCGTCACGAACGGCAAGTGCTCCATGGCGGGCATTGGGCTGGCGGAGGAGTGCGTGAACCTGTTCATGCACATGAAGCAGCGCAGCGCGGTGGGTGGTGGCGCGGACCAGGGTGCGGGGCTGGGAAGTGGTGATGGGGCAGGCTCTCTCGACATGTTCTGGTCCTGGAGAGGGAACCGCAGCTGCTTTGGGGTCCAATTGGCCTGGGCTCGGCAGAAAGGGCGGCGGCCTCGCCCTCGCCGCTGGGGACGCCCGGCGGCGGCGCCGGGCGCGGGAGTCCGCTGGCAAGCAAGGCGCGAGTCACGGCGCCGCGGGGCGCTGGTTGGCGCGCAACCCGACTCCCTCAGGCCTCGGGCAGCTGCAGGCCTGGGATGCCGTAGCCCTCAGCTCATCCAGCTGCCGCCGTGGCGCACCCCCTCTCTATCCTGCATGCTTTTCCTTGCACAAGCTTTGATTCCACGCCCTCACCCGCGCACACTGACTCATGCGCGCCCTACACAGTTCAAGTGGATGACATTCAAGGTGGACGACAGCGGCAAGACGGTGAGCAGGTTTCAGGGGCAGGGGCGCGGCCGCCGGGGCCGCCGGCAGCTGCGAGGCGCCGGCGCAGTGCCGGGAGGGGTTGTGCAGCTGGGCCCTAGCGCTGCGGTCGACCGGCGCCGGTCGCGCCTGTCCGATCGGCAATCCGCTGCGCAATTGCTGGGTCGGAATGGATTGCCCTTCCCAGGTGATTCCTGACCGGGTGGGCGGCAAGGGGAGCTCCTATGAGGACTTTGTGGCGACGCTGCCCGAGCACGAGTGCAGATACGGAGGTGCGCTGACGGCGCGGCGGCGCAGTGCACCAGCTGGAGTGGTGTGTGCGCCGCGGCCTGATCATGTGCTTGCATGAGAGCGACAGAGCGGCAGCAGCAGCCAGCCAGTGACGCCACCGCCCACAGCCGCCTGTGCTGCTGCGCGCCCGGCGTGCGCAGACAGAGCCAGAATGCATCAAGCCTTCTTCCTGCAGCCTCGGACGCCCGACTCAGGACCTTCATGGCACAATCAGCCTGATGCTTGGCTCTCCTCTGCCCAGACCTTGCAACCCCCCCAATGCAACTCTCCCCCACTAGTGTATGACTATGAGTACATCAGTCCTGAGAGGGGGGGCTTCAGCAAGCTGGTGTTCATCAACTGGTGGGTGTCTTGAGGGTGTGAGACCAAATGTACGGTAGCAAGTATGCACGCACATGCATGTGCTTGTGCGGCGCATGGTATAAATGAGTGGGTGTGTGCGTGTGCACGCGCGTGTGCAACCGTTGAGACTCCCATCTGTGTGTAGTGCATATGTATGTATGCACGTGTTTGTGTGGGAGGGGTTTGTCCAAGATATGTCTGAGAAAGGAAATGTGTGTGTGTGTCTTGGTGCAGCTTCCCAAGTGCCCGGGCATGGCAGCAGTTGCATGGTCTCCCTTCATGCACACCTCCGAGCAGCAAGAACGGGTCTCACAACTCGGCATCTCTGTCGACCCCTTGATCCCTTTTGCAGGGCCCCTGAGACGGCGCACATTAAAACCAAGGTGACGCCCCCCATCTCCTGCAGCCGTACCCCGCTCCTGGACCCTTGAGGCTCCCCTTTCACCTGGCTGAAGCCCCCTGCGCCATGGGCCCTCGTGCTGTAGTGGCACATTGTGCTGGAGCTTTGCCCGTGTCCAGCACCCACGTTGCTGACCTGTGTTCCCCACCTCGCGCTGCGTGATGACGTCAGATGATGTACGCGGCCACCAAGGACTTCTTCAAGGGCTTCCTGGATGGCATCGGTGCTGAGCTGCAGGTGGGTGGCTGGGAACGCGCGTGCGCTTGTGTGCGAGATTTTGTGTGTGTGTATGTGTGTGTGTGTGTTTGTGTGTGTGTGTGTGTGTATGTGTGCGCGCGCGTGCTACTTGTGGGTGTGTGTGGTTTTGAGTGCGTGCGTGTGTGCGCTCGCGTGTTTGTGTGCATATGGCTGTGTCGGTGTCACAGAGTGACGTGAAAGGCGATGTGGATCGTCACGTGTTTACATCCCTCACACACGGTACGCCGTTGGAAACCACACCCAGTGGCGGCGAGCGTCCGTTAATCCCGGTCCAAACCCACATCCCCGTCATGCTGTCAAGCACGGCAGCATGTTGATGCCGCGCGCGCGCCAATTTTGCAGCACCACCCCCCTCTGCTTCCTCCCTCTGAACTTGACGCCCCCGCTGCCACCCCCGCCGTCACCATTGTGCCCCCTCCGCCAGGCGAGCGAGTTCAGCGAGGTGTCTGAGGATGAGGTGCACGCCAAGGTCGTCGCCAACCTGTCACGCAAGTGATCTGACCCTATCCCAGGGTTTAGGCCCAAACTCACAGAGGTGATCCGATGACCGGACCGCGGAGACGCCCCGCCGATCAGGGCCTCCGCCCTCTGCTTTGCCTGCCGAGATCGGGCGCGGCTCGGGCAGCGCATGCAGAGACTCCGAGAGAGCGCGGCCCGGTGCATCAGGGGTTGAGAGGTGGGTGCCCCTTTCCAAGAGAGTGTGTCGGCGCCAGCACGCCGGACCGCGGTCCCTTGCACGCATCCCTCCCGCATTTTTGGGGGGCAGCGAATGTCTTTTGGGTTTTGGGGGAATGGGAAGCCGGACGCAGGCGTGAAGCCGCCAGAAGGCAGGCACATGCCGCGAGCCAGGGCCCGTCTTTTTTTAGGGGAGTTCATGCCAGCATTTGCATGGTCCCTGAGCCGGCTGCCTGCCGGACGCGAACTTCCATCTTGCTGCTGATTAAACACCCATGCATAAGTAGTAGGCATCCCCTGCACTTTGACACTGACTCGCGGTTGACCCCTGACACACCACCTGCGCATGACTACTTTTACCCTTGGCGCGCCTCGCCCACAAGCCAGCCGCGCTTGCTGCCCATGACCCCATACGGCTTGCCCCTGCTGCTCTGCTCCCCTTTTGGCAGTCGGCGTTTGCGTGCGATTGGCATGTGGGCACCTGCGCGTACGCTTCGCACCCGTGCAAGCGTGCACCTCACCCAGGTTTGCAGTCAACCTCCCGGCACTTGTGTAACGGATTTTCAGTCGTCCCTGACATGTGTCGGTTGCCCTCAAGGCACGAGATGCCGTCGCGCCTGGGCTTCCTGGGCGTGCCCGCACTGCAGGGGAGCAGGACAAACACCTGGGGCGGTGACAACTGCAGGTGCAACCAATGTCGGGGTGCTCCTGCGCTACCTGCTTGTAGTTTCATCACGCGTGGGCAGCTTAATTGAACCGCATGCTGCCAGCCTGTCCGCACTCGCAAAGCGTGGGTTTAGCAAATCAAACAACACATCTGTTGAATTGAGCATCCCAAGGTTCTGAAGTTCGGGTGTGCGTCCAAGGGTCGTAACGCCGCCTCTGTTTGCACTCGATTCCTGACATGAGGCATGCTCACGCAAGCCTGGTGAAGATTAAAGTGGCATGGTGGAGAATTTTAGGCTAACTGTCAGCGCCGTGGGCTTTTCGCTCGGAGCGGGCTGGCGCCACCTCGATTAAGGACATTATCTCGAAGCCGATTAAACCAGAAATTTATGTTTTCTTTGTGATGCGTTGATTACGCACACGCCTCCTCCACGCTTCGCGACGCTCATGTCGTCCCTGCCTCGCCCATACAAGGCCGGAGACGTCCTGGGGAACCGCTATGAGGTTCAATCGAAAATTAATAGTGAGCTTTGATGAGGCACCAATAGCTGGCAGGCGTAGCTGCTGCGCACTGTGACGCGCTGCAGCACTCTCGTGCTCTCAACCCTTTTTTGGCTTTCTCGCCCCTCTCCTGCCTCCGTTTGGCAGGGGGGGCGACCGCGATCGTCTACGCTGCACAAGATTTGCAGACTGGCGCACAAGTGGCCCTCAAGGTGGTGGCATGCGGCGGACCCAAGCAAGTGCCCATCAGCGTCGTGCGCCGCGAGGTTGGTGCGGGGCAGCAGGCAGCAGACCCTGGCAGGCAGTGATCTGGATGTCGCTGGCCGCGTCCCGGACCAGCTCGGCAGACCGTTGCCATCAACTGATGGAGATGAAACGCGGCCTCCCTGCTCACGCCGAAACCCTGTGATGGGCTGCAAGCACCACACGCACCCTGTGGCACCTGCTCCGACGGGCAGCATCAATCCCACTGCCGACCAGCGCGTGCGCCCCGCCACCCAAGGCGACCCCCAATGCCATCGCGCCCGCAAGCTTCGCTTAGTGTGCTTGTTTGCATCAATTTGCGTTCGGTGTTGGTATGTCCAGTTTCATCCACGCCCAAACCCACGACCCTTCCAAGGTGACCCTGTCCAGCAGCGTAGCGCACGAGCACTTGGTGCAGCTGCTGGACGTGTTCGCGCAGGGCGAGAGCCAGCTGGTGATAGTGGTGAGCCCCAACCGCAAAATCCGTAGGCTCCGCGTCCGCCCTGCGCAGCCCAACCACTGATGACGCCGCCCCTGCGCCGGCAGCCGACGTTTGCAGCCGCGAACGAGTGCAGCAAGCGGCGTGGAGGGCAGCAGAGGGACCGGGAGCCCGAGGGGTGACCCAGAGACACAAGGACGCCGGGCCGCGGATGTCAGTGTTGCGTCACCATCCAGTGCGTCAGCCAGGATCACGGGCTGCAGCAGACTGCGGGCTCTCCGTCCAAACCAACACTGCCACCACCCCGACCCTCACCCCCTACCCCACTTCTCATCCAGTGGGAGTTGGTGGAGGGCATGGACCTGTTGGAACTGCTCAACCACAACGGCGGCAGGGTGCGCTGGGGTGGCAGGGTGGGCGGGGGCGGGGGC